AATGTCAGGATGGAGATTTTTGCTGAAAACAAATTTAAAACCTTCTTCTTCCTCCATTCCGGTTTCATTTCTGTTACCAAAATAAGCTTGGAAGATTCTTTTGTAATAAACTTTTGGATGTTCATTCTTGCCCTGCGTGACCTTGTCTGCGGCTGGATACCCAGTAGGTCCTGCGCAGGCGTCGTACTCTTTGATCAGAGCTTCACACAGAAGTTTGTAATCCTTTCTCGTTGCATCTGGCAGACGCTCGATGAAGGTAAACACCTCTCTGTCCGAAGTGAGTCGTATCAGACTGATTTTATCTTCTACCGTAGCGTTTGGATAAGCTCTCAATCTGAAATCCAGATCTCTGAGGTACGCTTTCGTTCCAGCGGAGCCCAACGGTTCAGGGATGAAACGTTGTACATATTTTGAGAGTTTTAACAGAGCATCCATTGAAAGAGGAAGTTGCCATGCACTCTGTTGCATGTTTGGTGGAGGAGGCCTGTTCAGGTCTGTTCCTACCACTTTATGTGAGGGTGGATTAAGAGCAGGAAGTGCAACAACGTCTTTCTGAGGTGTTTGTGGGTGACCTGGACTCTGTCCACGGTCTTCTCTGAGTTCCAGACAAACTCGCCCCACGTCAGAAATCTTGTTTGTTGCTGCTCTTAGATTTTCTTCACATGTTTTTAAGCGTTCCTGTGATGTGTGATAATCACTTTCTAAACGCATCATTAGCTGTTGCAATATGTGTTTATCCATTCTGAGTTCTTCCAGCTTTTTGTTAAGCACATTTATTTTGCTATTCAGCGAATCCATTTCTGCATTTGCATTTTGCTGTAATTGAAACATCTGTTCAGAATGTTTTTTTGTGAGGATTTCGTGTTCACCTTTAAATTGAAGGAAGTGTTCTTCAATTCTCTGAACCACCTCTTTTTCGCTGTATAACCTTAATGCAAGGTAATCAGCTTTCTCAACAACCGTATAGAATGATTCTTTCAACAAAATTGCAATTTTAGCCAGCTTTTCATAACTTGACTTTATGATTTCTGTAGAGGTCACACTTTCTGCAACCCCCTTCAGATTGTCCAATAACTCTTTTGGGTTCATGCGCTCTGTCTGAGTCATATATGGATGTAGGGACGGTGCCAGTAGTGCGAACGCATTCTCCAGGCAGTCCGCCACTCCTTTTGGGTCAAAATCTTTTTCTAACACACCTGTCATGTTTTCACTGTGTAGCAATTTATCTGTTTGAACAGTTGCAAGCTTTAGATATTTTACAGGTAAATATTTGTATTCAAGTCAATGAGTTTTCACACTTATTTTAGCTTTGGGTTTACACAGAAGTACTGTTATAAGTCACTTATTCAAATGTGGGTACCTTTCTCAGGTTTTACCCCAATTGATGAATATTTAAGTAAATGCTCTCCTGGCAGTGTTACTTTTTGTGCTTATTTTTTAACAGATATCAGTTACCAAGCTGTTTTTTAGTGTTTTTACTCTAAAACACTGAATTTTTCATAAACCTGCAAATTTTTCTTTAGTCTCACAGCAATATCAGTTTAAAGCGTTTTTTTAAACCGTTCTGTTCCAGAAATTTGCTATTTTAAACAGTTACTCATCAACCCAGGTGGGTGAAAAGAGAAAAGAAATTGATGATGAGGAATAATCAGTCTTTCTTCAGAAAAACTGTACTCCTTTCTCCTGCCAATAAGTGGAGTTGTTAAAATATGTAAGGCCCCCAAATGATGTCATCATTTGTTGGTTTTAAAGAGGTGTCTTCTTCTTCGTCGCTTGGCATTTTTCTTCTATTTAAAGTTTAAACAGGAGAATTTTAATGTTTTAGGTTTTTCAAAATAAATAAAATCAGCAAAGTCTCTTTGTCTGATGTATTTACTTTTATTTAGTGATTTTTCAATTAAACGTGCACTATCCTTTTAGCAAATGAGTAAACTTTTCCCAACTTTGTGAAAATCTGTAACTGTTTCTATTTTTAAAAAGTTAATGTTTATTTTTGTACCTTAGTTTTAAGGAATTACCAGTGAAATAAAACTGTTTTGGTGAATGCTCGTTTGCATAAATACCTTATAACTTTTAAAATGCAAGATAACAGTAATTTTCAGCTTTAAGGAACGTTTATTAACTCGAAAAATGCCTTTTGGAAAAATTAAAACGTTTAATTTCACTATTTAGACCTAAAAAGCGAGTGAAACCTGTCTTCTCAAGGTTGTCCAGAAGATGTCAGCCTTACCTTACTAATCTTAACTCAGACACTGTTTGTGTTATCCACTAGGGGAGCTATAACTTCCTGTGGCGTTCGGTTGACATCCTGTTGTTAGCCGCTTAGCTTGAAGTTAGCTTCGGCTAAACTCGGTCAAAATCAACATTTCTGAACGGATTTTTTACACAAAAGTGGCACAATTTCAACAAACACGACTTCTTAGCCTGAACATGAGTTTTTGGAACAATATTTCAGCTTCATTTAGTGATTTTAGGCGTAGTTAAGGCCCCGGTCGTTAGCTTGTTAGCTTAAAATTAGCATCGCTAGCATTGTTTAGAAACATCGTTTTTTGACGAATTTTTAAACTCTAACGTGGCAGAATTTCAGCGAGCAGGCTTCGAAGCACTTAACAGTGTGTCAACAATCACTTTAGGGGAGCTTTTTAGCTTTAAAAAGCAGATTTTATTTCCCTATGAAAATGAATTTCATATCCGGGTCACGTGACTGAAATCACCAATGGCAACGCAGCGCAGGCTTGAGGGGAGATGACGTAGCACGTCAGTCAAACTTCTCAACCAATGAAAGCGCTCCACAACAGTGAATTCAACCAATCACGAAGCGTATTCTCCAACTAGCAAGTTAGATTAGCGTAAAATAGTTCGTCACTTTTTCGTCTTTTAAACCATCAAAATGCACTTTTTCTGTTAAGATTTGTAACGAATAAACCCCCTGAGCTGCACAGAGAACGGCGCTCCGTGACAAAACGTCTTTCTAGCTATTTAACAACTCGTTCGAACCCGTTTCAGAACCGAGCCGGTCCAAAGAACCGAAGCGGACCAGAACAGCGAATTCAACACAGTTTAAACAGAATAAAGCGTTTCCACAGCTCAAAGCCAGCTTATGTTACACATACAGACGTACAATTCAGCTTTCACAAGACTTAATGACACAATTTCAGCTCTTAAAACATTGCCAGCCCAACGCTTATACATGCAGCGTTTGCTTGAAAGGTGCAGCTCCAAGCGCGCAGCCCAGCCGCTGCGTAAACATTCACAGCTCATCAGCTGTTACTCTTTCAACATGCCAACATTTAAATCAATTTACACACGAATTAACAGTCATTCATGAAACGTACGAGGCCACCAGTT